AGAAGAATGATTAAAGTCGTCATTATGGTGAAAGCATTTTTGTCTTTTTGAATTCATCGTACAATTGCCTTCTACGAAATGAAGAATGAGTCTATCAATAGATTTGCTTATAATCGCTTTCTACGTAAATCAAAATGTGAGATTCATTTTTGCGAATGAGTTAAGTTTTTCATTCTACGTTTCGTAACTTAGAATAGGGACCACTTAACTAGTCATGAAGGTTCTTAATATTTTCCACAACAATCGAGTAAGCAATTCTATGTTTGTATTCCCCCCTCCCCCCTTAACAAAGCATCTCTAGAAAGGAAGCATTATGTTTTTAAAATACAAGAAACATATGTAATGCGTCTGCGCACTTGGTCACATTAATAAGGTCATTTAAAATTTTCATTATTTTAAAACTGAAAAGAAATTAAGTATAACTTTACTAATTAACATCACTGCCCTATGAAAAATATTAAAATCACCATTAATGAAGCAATGGAAAGAATCAATATGATTACATAAGAAAAGATTTATAATGAAATGTTTCTTATTAGATGATATGTGTGCAAGTGTATGATGTTATAACTGTTCTTGAGAAAGTGATCATACAATACACTCAATTTATTTCTCATTGAGTTATCCCAAAAGCGATATTTACCTTGTCATACCTTTATTGTTAATAATCACTTTTTTTGAGAATCTTAATAGAAGAAATAAAAGCAATTTTTATAGTAATTTTGGGAGAATATAAACGTTTAAAGATGTTTGGAGTTTGAATAATTGAAATATTTTGTCTTGTAATTCACATATCTTACAAAAGTTCTAGAAATTGTTCCTCGTTGTTGAATTTGTATTATTAGTTTCTAATAATACAGTTGATGATCGGTGATTAAAGAAATGTTTCTTTTCAATAGGGGCGAAAATTTGAGACTATAGCTGTTGATGTCTTATAATTATTTAGAAATGTCTTATAATTATTTAGAAATTATTAAAAATTGTGAAGTAGCTATTATTTCCTAAAAACATCAATGAGAGTTTGAGAAAATGAAGAGGAAAAGAAGGGGCTCTAAATATACAATTTTAGAGATTTATGAGATGTTAATTTCAGTATAACACATTGAATTTTGCTTATACTGCCTAAGAATTGAAAAACATAATGATTAAATTTCTTGATTACGAAGAAATAATAATAAAATGCTAATTTAAATTTTGATTGATTAATTAAAATTAGATTTAAATTAAATCTTCTCTTATTAAATTTGCTTTCAACTATTAATTTTTCTTATATTACCTTCGTTTATTTTTCTGTTTACCATGGTATTCTGTTTCTGTTTTCCGTCTCTTCTTTTTCTTTCCAGTTTCTCTGTTCTCTTGTTCAAATAATAATAATAGCAATAGTTTATGATAGCTTATTCTCGTACAACCATATACAATCATATACAACCATAACTATCAACCAAGTTCGATTCGCTTACTATATAAAATTATTAAAAATATATTTATACACATAAAAAATTATTTTTATTATTATAGACTTTTGCGTCATAAAAAGCTATTTATATGATTTCCTTATACAAGGTGAGTTATCCAGATAAGTTATTTTCTCAGCTATTATAGCAGCTATGGATAAATTTTTTTTTTTTAAATATAATGATCCCAGAAGGATTGATTATTTGGAAAACAAGTATTTCTAAGGAAATCGATCTAAGATTTTAAGTACTGTATTAATTTCTGCTCAAACATACAATTAGATAGTTCATACGAAACTAAATAATATTTACTTGAAATGTTTTTTGATATTCTGAATAGTTAAAAAGTTATGAGAGAAAAAGCTTTAGAGAAGTACTACGTGAAAGTATCGTAGATCACAGGATAATAAAATTAGAATAATAAAAATATTCTGTATTGAAATATAGTTTCGAGTATAGTATGCTTTAAGTAAATAAACGGTACATTATTTAATAGTATGTCATTTAAAAAAAA